CTGCTGAGCTCATCCCTCCGGAAATTTCCTTTTAAAACTATTTAAAGAATTTATCTCGAATCGAAATGGGGCAGATCTTGGCCACGGCGGGGGGGGGGGGATGACTTGCTTTTTGTGCTGGGAGTGCAGCGCTGGAGATCCGTGAATGGTGCAGGTCAGAGCAGAAGAAACCAGCTTGTTACGTGCCGAGACCTGCAGCGTTAATACCGTCCAAAATGGCTGAGCTTCCTTCAACTGTGGGAAATCCAATTCTGTTTTCAAACAAACTCGACTGTTTGTTTTAACAGTGTGGTTTGCTTTTGACCTGAAAGCCTAATTATCCTTATGGATTCAAAGTGAGGATTTCCAGTGCAGGGCTGCCTTAATTAAGGGCAGGTTTGTCAGCTCCTGTACTAATTTAACAATTGATGACCCATGCTCTTGTGTTTTCCTGTTGCAGTGAATGGCTGCTGGACAGTTTGATATGGTAAAGAATATTAAGCAGCCTTTAAATTAAATATATATATAGATATATAAATCCTAACCTGTAGCTCTAATTCAGAGTGGAATATCTGATGAACTATGTAGAAAATGTTTCTGGTTTATTAGCATTTAGCATAGCTGTACAAATACAATTAAACTAATGAAATATTACCAAAATAAATCTGCTGCCCACGTGTTCCCTGTGGAATCAGAAGGAGTTTGGTGGTGTTTTTTTAGGGTTGTCATAGGTAAGTTCTGGAGTAATTCACATAAAAGTTAAACTTAAAAGGAGAGGGAATCAGGGTTGTGAAAATTCATCAGGATGTGTGTCTATAATGTGAAGACTAGCAAAGAAGTTGACAACCTTTTGCTGTTTGGTATGAACAAGCTCATCTCCTCTCACACACTCCAGTTTATATCTGTATTTGAAACCAAAGGATGCTCAAGTTTTTTTTTTTTTTTTTTCTCAATTAGTAAGCTTCCACTAAGAGAAAGTGCTAAAAACAATGCATCAAGTAATCTGAAGCACTTTTAAAATGCAATATGTGGCAGATTCGTTGCAAAATGAAAACAAAAGAGCATGCTCTTACGGCTGTGTGATGTGAGGTCTAAAGTAGTTGATGGTTTTCACTGGCATCCGTGCATCATTTCTGGTGTTTCCACAATTTGAATTACTTACAAGAAGCTCAATGCAATACTGAAGTACTCCCTCTCTTGCTATTCTACTCTAATTCTTTGACAGGAGAAATGGGAGCTTGCCCGAAATCCTCTCTAGTTTCACTTTCTTTCTTGAATACCTTCCCTGCCTTCCGTTTTAACTTCTGTCATATTGTTTGGATTGGGACATTCAGTTCTAAACAGCCTCCATACCAACAAAGAGAGACATGAGCCCAGAGGAGTTTGTCACATGGTGTTGCTATGAGAGAGCAGCTCAGTTGGGCTGGAGTGTGCAGCAACCAGTAGTATTTATTCTGCTATTTCTGTCTTTCAGCCTCTAATCTTTTCCGTATTTTGGGAAAAACAGGGATCTTCCAGATTGAACTCCTTAGAGGCTGAGAGTTACAATCATTAGCACATATCTTAGTTGTCTGTAGGCATTTGTGAGGAATCTCTGTCTCATCTGGTTCCACCAAGATTCACACCTCTCTTTTTTAGGGAGGGAGCTGAAGAGCAATTGTGGCTCTACTGACACACTCTGGTTTTCCCTGGCCTTGAATCTTCTTCTATATGAAGTCTGGAGGTCTTTGGTTCCATTTTTGAACAGTGCTTGGTAATGTAAGACATCTTCATAGCACTGAATTATGATCAGCTGCAGTGGTGAATTAGGAAGAACTAACCAGAGGAGTTAGACTCAGTCCCTTCAGTTAAATTATTTGAAGGGATTTATCACCAACCATTCTCTAAGGAAGGACTAAGCAGCTGTGGACTTCAGCAGCTGATCTCTTTTGCATAGGATAATAAGGCGAAGTTATGCTTCTTTTTCTGGTAACCAACTCACATATTTGATTTTAAGATTGGGCTACCTCTGAGGAGGTTATTTAGGGACTGTTTTAAAAACATAACCTGGGCTCCCCTTTTCTCTAACAACTTTTTTTTTTCAGGTAGGGACACATCTGCTCAGTGTTGAGCAATCTCATAGCACAATAAGGACATTCTGAATAATGCTTGCATAATATATATATTTATAGAGAGTCATATCTCACGGTGGCACCACAGGCTATAGTAATGAAAGTGTAAAGCAAGGAGCCTATTTTATATTTTAACAAACATCATCTTTTTTCCTGTCAAAGAGCTAATACCAAGTTTTCAGAACATGGAAAGGTGATAAGTATTTCAAGAATGTAATTTCTTGCTGCTTTCAAGACAGTGGTAAACCTACTCAGTACTAAAACAGTAATATAATTTTTATTTCTGTTGAATACCCTTTTATGGCATTTCTGCGGCAAGGCCTGTTGAGAAGTTCAGACCTGCTGAAAATTATTTTAAAATAACATAAAATAGGCAAATTCGGGACCTGAAAATTAGGAGGTGGCTATGTGGAGGTTGCTTACATATTTGTAGTTCAGTGCCTGTTGTGTCTGCATATTGCTAAAGCCTCAAACTGTCTGTACACCTTTGGGTCTGCAGGAAACCGGTCTCATTCCATGCTAAAGGTAGATGTCTCATGTGGCAACAAGAAGGTGACATTATGAAAAAATAACATTTTTTTGCAACCTGATCTCATCCCCTAAATTAAAAGAGCAGTAAGCTCTGCTCTCTCATGCTGTGTGCAGGTAAGGGGGGGGTGAACTCTGAAGGCAGTATTGCTTCTGAGATGTGCTAATTTTTTTTTTTAACTTCTAAAGATGAATGTGTATTTATTCTGATTTTTCCGTGTGATAAAAGGTGTCTTAAGAGTTCGCCGTTAAAACACTGAAATTATTTTCAAAATGACAGAGGAAGTCAATATTTCAAAGCAGCATAAATCAAAGCACAAGGTGTGCTTCTTGTGTTCACTTGTGTCACTCGTGACTGTGTAATCTCTCCCTCCCATTACACATCAGGACTGCCGAGGAGAGCTGATGTTCAGTTTCTGCAATATAACTTGACGTGCCTTCGGTCGGGGTGGGCATCAGGGAAGTTAAGTGAGATCTCTCATATGGAGCAAAGGATGCACGACTTTTTGTTGTCACACTGTGTGCACTTCATCCTTATTTGAGATAAGTTTTTCAATTTGCTGTGCCCTTTTTGAAGAAGCTTTGCTGTTTTGGTTTCAGCTTTTAAAAAAACAAACAATGCTCTTTGTTCAGCTGGTAGTGTGTTCCAGAGTTACACAGTGGTTAGTGTCTCCTAGTACTTTCACACTGAGTAAAGCTACAAGGAGCTGTTGCCTGCGAGAATTACAACTGTGTTTGTAAGTGAAGAAAAAGCAGGATTTGACTTTCTGAACTGTATTTAGCATGGGCATCCTGCTCGGGTTTCTGTGTGAGATACTTGTCTTATCTAAGCATCAGGATGTAAAGAAAAGGATTTATTTTCTTCATCTTCTAGAATAAATAAGAAAATACAAACTGGGGGGAAAAAATCCTGCTATGTGGGATTGTCTCCCATATGCCCAGAGAAAGGAAGAAAGATGCATACAAATGTTTAGCATGTGCAAGTTTCTTGGTGCATGATTGGTTCTCCAGTTAGGAGTGGAATTCAGTGAAATAGGACTCTTCTTTTAAAAACAAAGAGTAAGCGCACAACAAAGGGTAAGTGATCAAATGATTAGCCAGAGGCTAATAGGAATGCAAGGGAAGAGTGACAGATTGCATATTTGGAGGAAATCTGATACGGATATTAATGTGAAGCTTTCTGCAGCTGAAGCTGCAAAAGAACTAATTTTGAAAACTTTTCAACAAATATGTGAAAACTCTGACTTGCTGGTGCATAAAATATTGCGTAATACAAGAAAGAAGGCTGATGGTTAAGTAAAGTTGAATTACAATTTGGAGGAATTTTCCTTCTGTCCCTCCCGCTGCTTAATTTTTTAAAAATCTGCCTTTGCTTAGAGTGAAATATGCCTCTGCCTGTAGCTCAGTGTGAGAAATTGTGTTATTTTACTTACAAATTCTGGTGATTTAGAAATCAGTATGCTGTATGGTTCTGTGTGGTTGAATCTACATTCTGTTGTTTGCAAATCGAAGAGTAAAATCAGGACAGCAGATAAATATCCCAGCAGACACAATCAACAGCTGCATGCCAACAGAGAAATATACTTGAATATTGGGAAAAAAAGAGCTTTTAATTACAAAGAGATTACTATTTCCTTATTTAGTGACCTACCAAATGGTTTTAATTTAACCTTGCGGTAGGTAGATGTCACTTTGTGTTAATAGAATTCACTTTCTTTACGGAGACCACATTACCTTGCTTCAAAATTTAACAACTGCTGTAGTACAGCAGTGGCTGAGTCCACACGTTTTCTTTAAGGTTCAAAACATTCCTTTAAAAAATACCCCACAAACTTATTAAAAAATCAGCCTGTGGAAGTTTACTAGTTTATCTTTTTAAAATTTGTTTTAATTTAAAGCGTTAATAAATATACAACCAGTAAAATTCTAAAGAATTACTAAATACAAAACAGTAAAATTTCAATACAGCAGATGAACTTTTGTCAAGCTTTAAATGTGACTAAACTTTTGTTGGCATGTTACTAAAATTACTTGCTGCTGACTGCTGGAAATTAGTTTCATGTAGGCTTTGATATTTGTTGAAGCTGCTTGAAAACCTTGATTTTTCTGAGTAATTCTCTGCTCTTGATTCATACAAATTCTTGCTGCTTATGTAAAAGGAAAAAGTGACACCACGAGTACATGAAGGTGTCGGATTAGTATAAGTTGTAATTTAAAAACCCTCTTGTTTATGCTTTTGATTGTTTTATATTGTAAAGGAGAAGAGTGATAGAATGAAGTAGCTTTTGGAATTGTGTATGCACCATTGCTTTCTTCTGAATAGAATTAGGAACAATTTCAAGTCAATGCTCCTGGAAGAGTAACTAACCTTTTCTGGTTTGCCTTTCCTGTGTAGTTTGCACTTGATGTTTTTGTTGGGATCTTCTTGGTGGTGGGTTTAGTATAAGAAGTGTCAATATGTCCTCTTACGTCTGAGGGCCAAACCATGCAGTATATAAAAAAACCTTTCAAGTCCAATTCTTGTCTGTAAATTCCTGTCATATTTTTTAGTACAACAGTAATTGAACAACCATAAAACCTGAGTCTTTAAGAAGAACTGTCGTATTGATAGAAACAAATCTCATTTACTCATCATGAACAATATGTTACAAAGAGTAAAGAGGAAGGAGAAGTGCTCAGCCCTGTAATCTGTCTCTAGCCTGTAGGTCTGTATTCCCAGGTAAAAGGTCAGGCCCATATTTTACATTGTTTTGCCTTTTAGTCTGTTGGATTGTTTTCCCTGTTTCAGGACTCACATCGTAACAGTCTCTTTGGAGGCATTAGATCACATCAGTACAATACTCAGGGATTTGCAGCTATTTTTAAAGGAAGTATATGAGAAAATAAATTCCAATTCTGGTGCCGTGGTGTCTAATATTTAGCTGAGATGTTCCAATTGTAGCTGCTCTAGTTAAGCCATGCTAATTGTTATAACCAGGGATACTGGTATTCCTCTACTAAATCTGTTCTCTTTCTGCTTGCAGCTATGTCATCTTATCTTTTAATTGTTAAATCTGAACTTCCTGGTGCTGTTGCAGGATTCTTAAGTGGAGACGAGAGCGGGTAAGGAAAAATTCATACACTCTGTATTTATCTTGAAGGAGAACGTGGTTCAGGACTGCTGAAGGTTATGGATCACAATGCTTCCCTCTGATCTTGCATGCTAAAAAATGAGTTATTTACAGGAGATCTTAGAATGTGAAATGTATTTGGCACGTGCAGGCCTTCTGCAGCACACACACAGAGCGTGATTCTTCCCTCACAGCAATTTCCCATCAGATGACCTTAAAGTCCATCTACAGAAATCTCCCTTCTGTAAAAATTTAAAAGGGGAAGCAGGAGGGATCAGGAGGGAGAGGAGGAGAAACATTTAAACTGTTGTCATGTTATCACTTCACATATTTCAAAACCACGGTACCAAAACTGGCAGATATTAAAATTTAAATATTTTGTTGTCTTGCTCCAGTAATTGGACTTGTCTTCGGAAAAATGCCAGGTTTCCAGACTTGGTTTATAATGCCTCAACTTGGCTCCCAGTGAAGAAATAATTCTTTGCAATTGAGCTATAAAAGCTGTATGTTAGGAGTGCGTCTCTCAGATATGTCAGAACTGTTGCAAGAAGTCTGTGCCTGTGCTAAGACAAACACCCTGCAGCTTCAGCACCAAAATACCTTGTTTGAGTTGTTCAGTGCTGCTGAACATTCATAGCAGTGTATCTTAAGACTGTTACAGCAGTTTTTTTCCAAACTGCCATTTTCAAATGTTTTGAGCTCAAAACTTTCTCTGGATTGAAATACAGTGAAATTGTCTCAAGGCTTGGGATGTTTGTATTAGTCCTGAATGCTATGGGTGAATTTTTAATTTGAAATTTGTTTTTTGAAAGGTACTTCATTTCATTTTATATTTTGTCATTTATAACAAACTGTTCCATTTTGTAATTAACATTTTTAGAACTGAAGTGTGGTCAGAATTTTGCTCTGTCTTTCTCTCTTGCTCTCCAGGCCCTTGAAATATTATGCTTTTAGTAAGAGGCTTTAAAAAAAAAGCAAACTACTATTATCTGTATATGTCATTTTTAGTCTGTTAATGTATCTCTTCCAGGTGTGGTAGTCAGCAGATTTTCATTTGGGTCCTTTCACCTTCTTCTGCAAGATCATGCTTTTAACTCTGCTCTTCGTATACTGTGGCATTGAGCCTGTTCCTGTGTCTGCTGCGTGTGCATTCCAGTCGTCCCCAAATTTAGCATATGACATCACTTACTACTGGTTTAAATTTTATATCAGCTCTGTTTATGCAAAGTGACTTTTCCTAAGAAGGATACACTTTTAAACAAACAGCTAATGAAAACTCACAATAGGTAGAAGCTGGAGGTCCTGCGTGCTGTGCACAGCTCAAAGGATTGTTCTGTCTAAAAAAGGCAGTATAAACAACCTCTTTATTGAGATGCCTGTTCGATAACATCCCCACCAGCTTTGTTTATCAAGGTCTTGGGGCAGATCTTCCAGATGTGAACACTGGTGAACACACAGTTACAGTAGCTGAACTGGGGATTACCCTGAGTCATTGCAATTCTCAGTGAGCTGTCAGCACTGCCACTGTCCGTGATTCTTCCTTAGCTGAATTTACAGTTTGAGATAAGAAGGAAGTTCAGTTTTGTACTCAGAGCTGGAATTGTCCATAGGAATAAGTAACCACAGCTCAAGTGGTAAGCTGATTGTCAGCCTGAGTCTCAGCCTGTTTCTGCCCCAGTTATGGGGCATTCTTCCATTTATAACTGTTTCTTTGACACAATTTGACTTCTCTATTCTTTGCCCAAGCAAATGTTTCAAATGCAGTGGCCAAGCAGTATTCCAGGTAACATGCACACAGCTGACCACCTCTGTATGCCCACATTCATATTTCATACATTTAGTCATATTAATTGCCTTGGTAGATCATAATCTTTTTCTTTCTGTGCATTTCTACTACTGTTCAGGGTAGGTTTTTTTATTAACAGAGTTTTTAAATTGTAGGAAATTGTTCAACAGAAATAGGTAATCAAATAGCAAGCTTAAGTATCAATTTAACTTAGGTAAAGGGCATAAATATTGTCTAGATGGATTAAACCTCTTTAACTGAACCACTTGTTTCCAGATGTGGTTGCATAACTGTTCTCTCTGCACTAAGTCGTTATTGCAGCTGATACGCTTGCATTTGGGTGTGGAATTTATCTTTGACTGTACTTAGAATGTATCAAAAGTGTCAGTTAAACTATCTGTTAAAAAAAAATTTATATGTATAAACCCTCCCAAGCCATACATTTGGGAAAGCCATTTAAAGAATGTTCTATGCTTTGAATTATTTTTATAGATAAGGGTTAGCAGGTGTGCCTGCGTTTGAAAGGCTCAGAGCGAGTGAGTAATACATCTTCACACCTTTTTTTTAAAAACCAAAAGCATGCAATAGGAACACTTGTTAATTGTGAGTTGAGATGTTTCACTCTGCCTGCCCAACAAGAATTCCCCATCATTTTGATGACATGAACATGGTTTCAGATGAGGATTGCGTTTAAAAGTTGTAATTTGTGAGCCCTCTGTTAACATTTAATGATCCTGTCAGGAGGATATGATTGATACAATTAAGTTGTCTTGCTGGTGTGTTGTATAATTGATACGGACTGAGAGTTAGATCGTAATTTAGAACATATGAATCTCTTGTCCTGTTGCATTCAGGAATGAAATTAAAGCAATTTATAAATGTCTGCTTTTAATTAAAATACAGGGGAGGGAGGAGGAACATCTGCATGCCAAAGAATTTTCACTAGAGTCAAGGATTTATATTCCATATTTCATATTTGGAAGGCTTTTATCATACAGGATTAAATTGGCAGATCAAACTGATTTTCAAGGCAGTATCAAAGCATTTATTCTGTCTTTGGAAAATAGATGTATTTCTACAAGAGTATTTTGAGGGGAAAAATGGACACACTTTTTGATAACCTGTAAATGGTCCACTATTCAGTTTTTTGGACGTCTTTTTAAATAAAAGAATTGGTATTCCGGAATTAAGCAGTTCACAGGATTACATTTTTTCTCCTTCCTCTCACCTGAATGCAATTTTCTCTCTCTTTTTTACCCCTCCCCACAAATGTTTTTTAATTTACCATAAAGTAACCAAGATAATTCTTTTTTCCTCTGTCCTGCTGAGCTTGTGAGCTACGATGGCAACTGTGGATTTGCTACATGTGTTGGCAGACTTAAAGAGAGGTCACACGTGTACATATAGTGCAGCATTCATTGTCCTTCTGTCTACTGCTCTCAGACTGTTCCTTCTAATCAGAACATCCACCATAATAGAAAGAGGGAAGTAGTTTAAAACTGTGAACACTAAATGGTAAAAATAAGAACACTACAGCAGGGAGCTGATCTTGGCAATATTGCTTTTTCACTGTAGCAGTAGCAGATCTAGGCTAGTAACACATTTTTTGGAAGAATTACGTATTTTGAGTAATTTTTAGTATAGAAATGGTCATTTAAGTGTTGCTTTGATTTTGATATAGCAAAAATGTCCTCAACCTTGACATTTGTTTGTTTATATAACATATTTCTTTCAAACAAGTGACACAAGTGGTTGTCCATGATGTATAATGGTAGTTAATACATGTATATGGTAATTTTTCTTTAACACAGGTGTTCTGCTACTTTCCTTAAGATAACTTGAGGTGCTGCCTGTTTATTAGGTGCTAACCATATCCTGGACTAAATAAACCTGAAGGTCAAAGGCCAAGGTGTTTATAGGTAGTAAAGTTGGAGGCTGATGTGCAAGATGTTTATCAGTATAGGATATGGTTATTGGCAAGTTAGGGGGAACCACCCTCAAGATGTTTCTGTTTCTTAACAACTTGTCCATCTGTACTTTCCTCAGTTCGGAGACAAGATGTTGATGCTTTAAATAGGTTTTAAATGCATTAAGGCTTCATATGCCTCTACAATTCTTTTTATGTTTCAGTATTGTAGCAGATAATTTCCATCCCCTCTGTCCTTTAATACTTGTCTGCATGTATGTAAAGAATGAGTGATCACTTTTTGCAAAGTTAAAGTCCTTTTTGTTGCTGTTCTTCATTATATCACCTCTGGACAGCAAAGAATTCCAGATTAACTGAAAGTTGATTTGTTTTCTTCTGTTATTTGAATGCTCTGATCTGATGATGGGTGTCATGACATGGGCAGAAGAGGAAGTTCATATTTTTAGGAAACAAAACTGAATTTCCAAGCAAAAAGCATGAGTAGCTTAGCTTTTTCTATTTCACACCTCTTGGAAATGGTAAGGAACTAAGATTGTGCAGGAGTAATAAACTGGAGGGGAAGTTCAGCAGTAAGTGGGAGTTAATGTTGCTATTTCGTGCAGTTGTATAAATATACAACTGGGTGTAAACCAGTTAAAGATATATGTAGCACATTGTATAAGAACTTCTATTGGAAATCTGTAGAGTATGAATGCCCTCTGATCATTGCTTTGAATAAAAGCAGGGCTTTGCATGTTGTGCTGCTGAGAAATAACTTTGCTGAGAAATAACATATCAGACCCCTGATTCATGCAGACACTTGCCTGCAATGCTGGTTCATTCGTTATCTAGGAGCTCCATTTCACATCATAATCTAGACACTATGAATGTAAGTAGCATGTGAGACTTTATATTATCTATTTTTCTTGTCCTAGTGGTTATTTTGTCTAAGATCACAGTTTTAAAGTAGAACATATTTTTTAGGACTCTTGAGCCTTCTTTCAGTCACAAACAGATTTTCCAACAGGTCTTGGTACCTCGATGGGAGACTCCTGCTACTGATTACTTCAGTCTTTATTGTTTTTCCTCTTGCACTTTTTCCTAAAATTGGTGAGTAATTAAAGGAGAGAAGCGAATATTATTCTACTTTAGTAGCAATTACAATTGAAGACTTTAAAACCTTAATGGGTTATTTATTTATTTTAACTGGCAGGGGGTTGTTGGTGGTGGGTATTACTTAAGTTTGTGTAGTGTGTTCTGCCTTCCAGCCCTGCCTAGTTAACCTATTACTTGGGTTGCAGTAGTATTTTGTCTGCAATACTAAAATAAAATCTTTACAGCAGAACATTAAAGAGCTGCATTTACTTACAGCATGCCATTAGTGGTAAGCCAGTTCTAATTCTGCCCTACAAAACTACATAAATGATCTGTGACAGGCAGTTGGAATGTTGTTATTCTGAGTCCTAAGCCCCAGATACCAAGCACTGTAATAGAAAACATGCCTAAAATGTAAAGCTTTAGCTGTACATTAGGATCACTTTCCTTATAAATTCTCTTTTATTTTTACTGTTATTTTACAGGCTTTCTTGGCTACACAAGTAGTTTATCATTTTTCTTTATGGTGTACTTTGCTCTCGTGGTAAGTTAAAAATCTGTGCACAGCTTATCTATATTTTTTTCTTATTGTTTAAATGTTTTCACAAGCCTGTTTTGAAATGGATTGTCTTCCCCATTCCCCTTAATTTTTTTATGTGAAACATAGAGTTTTCCTTAAATTTCAGCGTGTCCTTCCTTGGACAGATTACATTTCTTTTGCTGAGGCATGGAAATGTGTACGAACTTTCAAGCATGTGAAAAGATTTAAGATAATTATATTTTGGACTGGTAAATGTAACAATATTTTTGTTTTGCTGATGGTGCAGTGAAGGGAGCTGGCACATATACTTTTGCTTCCCTGCTTGTAGTGGAATGGAATTCTGTTTTCTTAGCTTCTAACTATTACTTACTGCAACTAGTGCAGAAGAAAATTTAATATACTCCAAATAAACTACATTTACACGTATAATGGAGTGACAGAGTTCAAAAAAAGGCAAAGAAAACTAGAATTTCATTAAGGCACTTTACAAGATTCATTAATATGTCAATGACCTTATTCTTCTGTCCTACTGAAAGGAAAATTTCTTTTCTCTGGGCCATATGGGGGTTTTTGACCCTGGTGTTCACCCTCTCGAGGTCCCTGTGAGGTAGATGTTCCCAGATACCCAAATCGAGACCTGCTAGGCAGATCTAAGAGGGAAAATGTGCCTTTAAGTTACACTATTTTTCTTTCTGCAGGGACAAAGTGTGCTAATGCACACGTGTAATGTGTAGGTACAACCAACTGACTCTGTCATCTAGGTACAGAAACAGAAATCTTATCTGTGGGGCTGGAAAAATGTTCCCCTCTCCCCTGCCATTCTGGCCTGCATTGACTTGCATTTAATACCTGTTTTACAAAGGGATAAACAGAGTTGAAGGCAAGTTGAACAAACATGCCATCCAGGAGACCAAGGCAATCCATTAGCAACTAAACCGTGTGATAAAACCAAACTTCAAAGATGTCAAAACATCTCCCTAGGGTATCCCTGGGGAATTGCAGTGTTTGTAGAACCTTGGGAAGTATTCTTCCTAAGCTGAGCGTCGAGGAGCAGCTACGGCCTCTCCAGAGCTAATGGAAATTCATTTGTAATATTTATAAATTACTTTAACTTTTGACCTCTCCTAAACTTTATCAAAGAAAGAAAGAAAAAGCACCAACTGTAATGCTTTAGTACGCCTTTGGCTGAAGGTAGTTGCAAGAGTTTTAAAACCAGTTCAGTTCCTGGATTTCAATGGGCATGTGCCTGCATCTCTAAGAAAGCTCTTTTAATGGGATGGATGCATTTAAAAACAGTTTTGGGCTCTGGAAAGGCAAGTGTGTGAGCAGGACGTGCATGCAGACATGGCAAACTGGGATGATTTAAGCTAGGGTTTAATTGTGATTCTATCAAAAGAGCAGATAGAAAGGACTAATGAAGGATTACACAGACTACTGGATTTCTTCTGAAATGGTTAAATTTGTATGCTTGCACTTTGCTGTTTAATGACAAAGAAGCAGACACAGTAAATCTAATGGAGGTAAAAATTTTTAAAAGCCATTACCGATATTCAAGGAAAACTACTGCTCTTCACAGAGTGTTCTCTCTGACTTCTTTAGGCACTGAAACTCAAAGGCATTAACTGCCGTTTAGTTTTCATATCTAATTGCTTTGAAGTGGGTGATACATGCTGTTGAAATGCTATTTGAGTTTGCACAATGTTAATTTCTGTACAGCAGTTAGGTTTTAATTGGTTCCAGAAGAAAACTGTGTTAGTCATATGGAAGTAATACAATTATGTTTTGCATATACAATAATTCTGTGTATTTTTCAAGTGCATACCATCTGTTCAGCTTTTTGCCAGCAAGCCACACTTTTAATACAGCCTGCAGAAAAGATAGGTACAATAGACAGCATATGTCTTGGTCAGTGTGGTTTAGAGAGTGCTCAGAGCTAAAGGTCTAGAGACAACTCTTTGTTCTCCCTGCTCTGCTGTGGGGCTCTGACAGGTCATGGATCTCCTCTCTGGGCTTCAGTCTCTTTTCCTTTAAAGTCAATATAGGTTGTAGTCCTCACTTGGAAAAAAGTGAAAACACCAAGTTGAGCTAATCTGGAAGAAAACCAAATATATGTAACTAATTCAAAGCCAAATTCTGTGAGGTCCTGAGTACTTTCGTTTCTGATTCTTTCCTGACTTGAGTCCTAAGTGAAAAGGAATTAAATGTGATTATTAAATTTTTTTTTCTAATTGCCTCCCCTCTTGCTGTATTGAATATTGGTGAGAAGTAAAGACAGATTTTTTTTTTTTTAATTTTTTTTTTTTATTTTTTTTTTTTTGTGGAGACAGTCCTGCTGGTAGCTTGTGTCAGTGATTCCTGTTGGTATTTTTCTAAATCTCTTGTTTATGTTCCCAGAACAAAATGGAAACCTGCCATATGTAATAAATGATGTTATACACAGAGCTGAGTGCTGTCAGTTCTGCTAGAATAAACAAATTCCTGTTTTCCTTCCACAGGAAAAGCAACATCACTGAGAATATTAGAACGTTTTGAGCCTCTGACTTTATCTTTTGAGCAATATTTTGGTGTGGGTTTAGAATACCCTGTTTCCACTAGAATCTCTCTGTAGGTTTTAGGTGTTTTTCCACTTAAAACCAAATGTTTGTTATACTCCAAAGACAACTCTTATAGGAAGTAGGGTTAAAGTTCCTGAGGAAGATTGTGCTGCCTGCATGACTGCTCAGCTGACTGGGCTGTGCTGCCACCTTAAAGATCTTTTCCTGTTAGGGGAGACCTCATTAGACCACAACTGGGAATCCGGACAGGTTTGAATAATTAAGCAGGTGGGCAGATATAATTACAGATTTTAAATGCACCCAGTGCATTTTATTTTATCTCCTCTTATTTCCATTTCTATCTGTTCTTCATCTGTGTTAATTTTATTTTAGAAAAATGTTCTTCAGCTTTGTAGGCTTGGCTTGGCTTGTCTTCCTCTGCAATATTTATATATATCTTTGCTCTTGAGCTTGCAGGAAGCACTGCCAGGCACACTTTATTGACCCCAAAGCTTGCCCTTGAGCTTCATGGCCCTTTTCATTGCTCAGGAAGCCTGCTCCAACTTCAGCCAGAGTTCCCACAAAGCCTTCTACTCTGGAGCCTTCAAAACCTCTCCTTTATTTCCCCTGTCTGGGTACCTTTAAATACACAGAGATCTCCTTGAAAAAATACTTTGCCTGCTTGCTTAGCCTTGCAAATGCCTTCAACTAGCCAAGAGGCTTGGGCTTCTGTGGGAGATAGCCCTGCACCCACAGGTGTGGTACTACAGCAGTAGGAGCAGTCTGCATTTGTGTCTCAGCTCATAGCTTCTCTGTGCTTAGTGCACAACAAAGAGGTGAAGCAGGGGTGACTCTGTGACAGCGTCGTTCATATGTACAATACAGACCCAAGTTCTGTTTTAGTGTT